AAAATTATATTTGTTTCTGTCAATGTTAAATATTAATGAAGTGTCATCTGCAAACAACACGATCTCACACAGGTTTTTAACAAAAAATGGCAAATCATTTATATATATTAAAAACAGAAATGGGCCTAAGATAGAACCTTGGGGAACGCCTATTTTTACATGAGACCCCGACGACTTCGCACCGTTTATATCTACCGTTTGTGTTCTGGAACTAAGATACGACAGCATTAGTTTTTGAGCAGCACCTTTAATACCGTAGTAATTCAGTTTAAACGACAGTGTCTGATGCTCAACACAATCGAAGGCTTTGGACAGATCGCAAAAAACACCAAGAGCGTTTTGCGATCCCTCCCATGCTTTAAATATATGCTTCAGTAGCGCAACACCCGCATCTGTTGTCGAACGACCCTTAGTAAAACCGTATTGCTTAGTATGCAAAAGTTTGTTGGAATTAAAGTAGGATATTAATTGTTCCAGAATAAGTTTTTCAAAAATCTTGCTTAGTGTCGGTAGAATTGAAATGGGTCTATAATTACTAGGATCCTGTTTATTACCAGCTTTAAAAAGAGGAATGACTTTACTAAATTTCATGAGATCTGGGAAAATACCCTCATCAATACAGTGATTGAAAATATCAGCGAGATAGGGAGCAATGATATTAATTATATTCCTAATTATATTCACTGATATACCCCATAAGTCACGAGTGTTTTTTATTTTTATTGATCTGAAGCCTTTAATAACATCTAATGAATCAATATATTTGAACTTAAATAAGGTATCACATTTTGGTACACATTTCCTAAGCAAAGCCATTGCTGCCTCTGGCGAAGAATTCAAATTAGAAGTTGTCTCGATCGGTTTATTTATGAAAAAATCATCAAAAATATTGGCGATCAGTTCAGGAGTTTTAATAAGCTCGTTTTTGAAAGTAAGTGCCAATACGTCGTCATGTGGTCTGTTTTTACCAGTTTCACGATTGATAATATTCCAAGTAGTTTTTATTTTATCACTGGAATTTTTAATTTTGTCTCTAATAAAATTTGACTTCGCCAATGCACATACTTTTTTGAATAATTTGGAGTAAGCTTTTACATAATCTACAAATTTTTCAGAATGGTTATACTTTCTAAGATTGTACAACTCATATAACCTGTTTCTGCTTTTATAAATACCAGTCGTAGCCCAGTCACAAAACTGTAGTTTCTGCGTAGTAATTTTCTTCGTTTTTTGTATTTTCAGTCAAGTAAAGTTGGTATTTTCAGTCTTCGCTGGAAACAATGGTTTATTCATTGGTCACAACACTCATGTAATATTACGCGAGTCTGAGGGTTGGTTCAGAGTAGCTCGGTGACGTAGTGAATAAACGCCATGGCCCGCGATTGTAGTTGTTAAGCAACTTTCGCAAAGGTCATTCACAGGATGGGTGACCAAAAAAATATTATCTCAACCAACTCCAAGCTTTGGAAGGCACGTAAAGCGATTGGTCCCGCTCAGTCAGTAAAGAAGTGCAAAATCTTGCTGTTATATTTGATCAAACGTTATCTTGGCTTTCTTTTGTTGTTGTTTGTTGCTGCTGGTTCTCTTAGGCGATTACGGAAATTTACACAATCGCTTCTCCACCCAATCCTTAATTACACTAATGCGTGTAATCCAGACCTCACTGTTGATCTTCTTTGAGCGACTCCAATATCTTGCCACTATTTGTACCTGGTACTCTGAGATGGGACGTAGAGCAGTGGATTTTTTAAGCATTTTTCATTAAGAATATTTTGCAGTACATGATTGTGAATGCAAATTTGATCTAATATAATAATCTTGCCTACTTCTTAAATATAATCATGTCTCCCAGTATCGTCTACAGCTCCTGCTGTTTTCAGTGCTTGCATCCCAGATATCCTAAAAAGCGTTTTAAATACTTATCTACCACTCACGACCTTCCCCTTCGCCCATCTGACAGTCTTCGTCTTTCCACCACACAGAACTTATAGAGGTTTTATAGCACTTCTTTACCTTGCGCACTATTCGGCTATGAAATTCTCTACCTGAGGCTATAAGAAAAATTCAGTTGCTAGACACTATCAAAACTATAGTATAAGCGCATTATCTGTCGATTGAGCACTATCCTCTCTTGTATCTGGCTAGTATTGTGCCGGTGTGCCGTACCACCACACCGTTATTTCGTCCTAGGTTTCAACATGCAAACTTTTTGTCTTTGATATTCAACATCATTTCTTTTTATTATTTACCTTTCGTAATTTAAAACTTTGACTAATCAATTATGCTCTTTATGAATGTCAGTTCGTAAAAAAATCACCTAATGTGAACATGATAATGTAATCATGTATATTTAATAATAATTAGGTTATTATAATAAAATTGTTAATCTAAATGTATAATGTCCAAGTTTATATATTACAGGAAACCCAATAAAAAGGTTTATTTCTTTATTACCGTATAATAAAATCAAGTTCTCAAGCTTAGTCGGCCTTTCATTCATTTGTCCAAGCATCGAACCCGTCACAGTATCACTCTTTTTCTTCGTTTCCAATAATTAGGTATATTATGAATGTATGTATCTATTAATGTACTAACATTATAGCTTCAGCTTAAAAATAGGGGGCTCTGTGCAAAATTAAGAACAATATGCTAAAAATTACTAAATTTTTAGCATATTGTTCTTAATTTTGCACAGAGCCCCCTATTTTTGGTAATTTGTAAATTCTATCTTTTGTAAATAGGTGGCCTAGAAGAGATCGCTATTAAGCGGTAAAGCTGCTTATTGTACAATATCTATTATATTATAATTATGTGCAATCAAGTGTCGAATGAATAAATAAAGTTGAAAATTGTGATATTAAGAAAAATACTTGAAGATCATGAGGCATACTCTCAATACTGTAGGTACGTAAGCTAATTTCTACCATGGTTATTAAGATTCGCCCAAAGGTTGGTTCCCAATCACAATTTTGCCAATACAATACACAATTTTAATAGCTTTTTCGACTGTTTTCAACTCAGAAGTTTTGAAACTCTTATCGTAGACAAAATAGTTGTAAGTCACTTTGTCTTTGAGAGATAAGATTATCGTGACTACCTTGTGCGCTTGCTCTTAGTTAAAATCAAAATACAGATTAAAAAATAGTGGTGTTTTTGTAGATAAGGATACCATTTTACGGGATATAAATATTGATTCTCGTTCTAAAATATTTAATTCATAAATGGACTGAAAATTAAAAAGAAAATGCTTTTTGTTTTACAAATTTTTAATAACAATAGTGTCCAAACAGTGTCATATAAATTACTTATAACAACAATAGCTCTTGAACTTCTTATTTCAACAGTCGATCATATACGTCTGACGATGAACCGTCCAAACAGTGCCGGTTTTAGCATTACTAGCGCCCTGGGCGAAATTTCTTCGGCGCCCTCTAACTGTGATTTAATTACAATCAATTACTACTACATACTACAAATCAGTTACTTGTCTTTTTTTCGCCGACCCGGCCTACTTAATTGTAATTTTCCCTAAATTTAGATAGATTGTTAAGTGTTCAATCGGTTTAATTTCTCGGGAATCCCCGACTTTCCGACCATACAGAAACAATGTGTTTTTCTATAATCGGGGATTCCCTAGATCTATCTCATAATTGTTATCTATAACTTTGTGTAATTGTTGTAACTTTTTGACAGCGAGTTTGCAGTGGGCCACTACTTATTATATGATCAATTATTTTGCTATTTCGAATAAGAGGACAAGTAGCTGGATCCGCTATATTCGGGACAACAGTATCAACATCATCTAGTACATGTATTTGTTGTAGATCAATAACAGATTTATTCTAAGCAGTATCTGTAATCATAGCACAACTTGCTCCCTTACTTCGGGATTTTTCATCCACAATCTCTTGAGTAGCTATTCCATCTGACTTGCCAGACAGAGGCTCCACTGCCGATGCATTCGTTTGTATTGCAGCATTTTAGCTTCAGCTTAACGTTTAAACATTTAACGCTCAAACGAAAATTTTCTTAAATGATCGAGCGATAATGCCCGCCAATGTACGTCATATTACCTTATAAAATACATATCTTCATATTGGTAATCGGTATGTTGTTCTGTTTTACCATAATATAATATTTTTCTTGTTAAGTTTCCTTTCAATTCATGCTAAAAGGCAACTTGAAAATAAAAAAAAATCCTCAAGATTCTTGTTCTTTTTTCGCCGACCCAGTAGGCCTTGTTCAATGAACAAGGGAACTATAAGAGGGCGTCTGTGGGAAATGAGGAAGTATTAGAAAAAAAAACATAAGTTCCCGAAATCAAACTAGATATCGTTACGGTATGTTCTTGATTTCTCCATGACAACCCATCCAGTTTTCTTTCATGTTTAAAAGTAAATTAGTTTTCAAAACTCAATTAACAACTCATATTCTATTTGTACTTTTTCGTATTTGTATTGATATCTAAGTTTCGAACTTTTAAATTTCAGTTTTTTAATATGTTAGTTAAAATGAACGGAAATTACTGTCTTTGTTCCATTCGTTTCCTACAAAAATCAACTTTTGCTAGAGTCGCCATCTAGGTGGAGGTATTTTGTAGTGCTTTCGTTTTTTTTAAATACTTCCTCACTATACAGAATCAGAAAGAAGAGCCGGACGAAAAGGGGCGCCGCAGGCCGCGGCGCCCCTTTTCGTCCGGCGCCCCTGGGCGGTCGCCCAACCGCGCCCTACCCTAACGCCGCTACTGCGTCCAAACCTTTTTGTGTTCCATATAAATTATCAATTTACAACATATCTAGGTCTACATACCTATTAATACCTAGACTAGCTCTAGCTGCATCTCTAAAGGTCAATCTTTTATGGCAGACTTTTAAGATCATAATGTTATTATGTTGAACAGCAAACGGCATAAACTTTGATTCGTACAATTTCGTTTAGCATACACTGGACTTGACATAGAATAAAACTCATGAAAAACTATGCAAAGTCTGTCATGCTAAATTAACTGAGCATCGAGATTCTGCCAGACAGAGGTAACCGGATCGAATATCGTTACATTTTCTCTTTCTTTACTTTATTAGAGTCCTTAATCATGTCATCGATCAGATTAGCTGTAGCTCACTAGAGCGGTTCATTTCCCGTTCCATTTGTCTTATCCCATTCTACCGCCTTGTAGACCCTGCCAGAGTGCTGAAACCTAACCTCGTGCTCATCCTCCATCAGTTGCTTGTGACGACTGTGCACCACCACGATGCAGTATACTGAGATACCTGGGGTATAAGAATAAAGTGTTTTTATAATTAGTAACCAATTTCTCATATGTGTAATTAAATTTTGCACATTTTTGAAGTGGAAGTTAGATGAAACCTTTCTTATTTAATAAAGCGGGTTGCTTTGTTTCCAGCGTGTGTCCGTTTGATTTTTATTGACAAGGATTTTGGTCAAATATAACATCAGAGTCTAATAAATAATGGAATTGTAGAATGGCCATGGAAACTTTGTAATTAAATACCACAACTACGTCGTGCTTGGGCTCATTTTATTTGTTTATAAATAAATCTCTGGTCTGTAGAACAGCTTCACAGCTTTATCGTGGTCACTTTTACACGTTTATAAAAAGAAAAAGACAATGACGCAACGGTCCCGTAGGTCTTGTATTCGTTTTCGAAAACGATCATTGTCATAATTTGTTTCCAAATATTCCACAACGGCACTTCTAGCGGAAACAATAATAAACTAAAAATGGTACCTAGTTATCAAATGGTTTTCGAGTAAACGACAGTGTGATTTACAAGTTTACTGTCTAACTGAAAGTAATTCTAGCGGAAAACAAAAACTACATTAGATTCGTCACCCGATTAAAAATTTCATATTAGAAAGAGCATTGTTCCTTATGGAACACCTAATTTTTATATATTTGATATTGATTTTTTTTATGATGAGTAATTAAAAACATATAAGAAGATTAGAGCCTGTGTCGAAAGACTAGAACTAGATAATTAGGGCGTTTGTGCTCTACACTGAATTTTCAGATCTGGCAGTCAGATTTTTTCCGGTCCTATATGTCAGGCCATATACAGGTAATGCTAGCCTATGCACTACCCGGAATTTTACGGTCAGCAATTTAGCTTATCTCTATTCCGGGCCGGTATTTTCTTGTCCGAGATGGGGGCAATGAAAAACGCGTTTACGCTTGTGCACCGCTGTGTCCGCAATCTGGACAATTCAAGAGCCTACAGAGAATGCTTGGGAAAAAATTGTCGAGATATGTAAAATCGATATTTATTTCGGCAATATTGATAATCGATATTTATTGTAGATATATGCCTTGGTAAACTCGATATAGTTCTAATTTGTTCCAATATCGATACTTTGCTTGATTCTAAAATCCTATTACTAGAACCGATCCCATAAACAACTGCACTCATCTTAATGAAATTTGATAAAGAAATACACTTAACCTTGAGAAAGGACATTGGCTACCTTTTATCGCGAAAAATAGATGAATATTTAACATGAAAAACCCGGATGAGTAGCATGTGCACTTGCCCTTTTTTTCCGGAACCGAGCCGCGCAGTTTATTTAGGGCAGCTCTCTTTAAAGCTGCACGTCACTTACGCTAGTTACGATGAGATTTTTGGAACGTCGGTAATTGCTTGCTTCATTTTTCATAAGACCATAGAGTAGGGTAATTGACGTAGCATTGTAACACCGGTTTTCCTATCGATACAAAGACCCGACTACATTATCCATCTTGCTTGTGGGCAAGCCTAAACTGTATTGAATCGCGCAGGCAAGATGAGAGTGAAGCACAGGCTTAATAAGTTATTGGACAGTCGACTCTAATTTGACATGAACTGCCGTTTTTAATTCGTTATGGTTTCCGCTAGAGGCGCTACTGTGAAATGTAGGATGACGTAATGAGTTTTCGGTAGGAATACGTAAATACCTATCATATAGATAATGTCCTTTTTATCTCAAAGTGGTATTGTATGCATATTTTATTTTGGTATTGTATTATAACAATGAATACTTACATGAGAAATATTTTTTTTCTAATTAAATATTTACAGATAATGTGTTTGTCACCTATCCGTAATATCTATTGAGAAACAAGCACAATATTAACATGATTCTAGTAAGTCTACCGATTTAAAAAAGCAAAATTTCTAAATGGTTCTCAATACAAGACATGCCGGCGTATATTTACGAATCGATCACACGGTTTTTCGATTTTGGTCAGTGCTCATCCAGTATTTTACAACCGAAGCTCAACAAATGATTTTGAATGTTATTTACGATCTTACAAAGTCTAGCGAGGCAGGCACATATGACTATGATCTCCAATACTAGTGTCTCTCCTGTGTCTTGCAGTACGAGGCTGATGCCGGTCAGACAGATGACGAAGTAGATAGCCGTTATGATCCCAGTTACTATCGTCCACGGTAGTGTCAGGGATGCTAACTTCTGAAATTAGAAAGAGAAACACGATTTAATATTATTACGCATCTTGAGCTGTTACCATGGTTTGGAGCAGCAGTTCTAGAATATTTTGAACATATTGGATGAAACCCAAATTCCTTTTAGAAACCAAATTTTGAAATAAAAGACATACTTATTTTATAATTGTTTAATAATAATGTTTCAAGGATTCCATATCCGTAAGGTTCAGTATGTAGCTGTTAACTGACAGAACCCTGCTTTAAGTATCATTACTGTACCTGTTTTTATACCTTAACAGCGGCAACGATGAGCAGGATAGATGACAGCATGTGTATACCGCTGACTGCAGCGGCGGCAATGTAGAACGCATACTTATGGACGGAGACCTGACCCTCCCTGCCAAGCGGCCATAACGTCACCATCAAACTGTAGCCCATCAACTCCAGCAACGCCCATACCTAACAACATTACAAAAATCTTGTTTGTAACAATTTACCGAAATAATTGACAAAAAAAAACTGTGATTGAAGATAATCCCAACTTTAAATATGTGTACAAGACGTATGTATACTATATATCAATTCTGTCATCATGTTTTTGTGCAGGTACATAGGTATTTAATTATTACGACGATATTATATATATTTCTATTTCGTAGGTCGTCCTCGACGATCTAACTCTACAATCATTGAAGGAAGTTAAGTCTGAACTGCCAAGCAAATCCTTGTGGAGGCCACTTTTAATACAGGGCACTCGCTTAAATATACCATTAGGATAAAAGTGAGAAGAGAACTGATTACAGAAAAACTGATATTGGAAAAGATTATTATCGACTAATACTTATGACGATGTTGCTCCTGACGACCAAGTCTCCTTCTTTAAACCATAAGCAATGTCTTGAGTTTGAGCGACTGCTACTGTAGAGTCGAAAGGCATTTGACCATTGACTATCTTTGATTAAACCCCAACATCTTATTCTAAAATACCTCGTGGGAAGCTTTGATTAGGATTATGTAAACCTTATTATAAATATTAAATTAATTCAGGAAAATTCCCGCTAATATGGTCGAGTCGTGTCATAGTAAATATATACTAACTAAGATACTTATTCTCACCGATGCAATACGGACAGACGAGCGCTGATCATAAATATTTATATTTGCAATTAGCATATTATAGATAATGTTATGATCTGATGATAGTTACACATTTACGTTAACGTAATCACGCATTATAAGTTTTTATGACCATTATAATACTGATTTTACAACATGAAAATCACAAACTCTACATCACAAGACTATACTTACCTAGGTACCATTGCAAAGTAATACTTTATTCTTATTATTATATGTATTAAACCATCTCTGATTATTTAGCGCCGATGCTTTTAAATGGTAATTTTAACTGAATTGTTAATAAACTAAGCGGCACGCACTAACAGTGGTATAACATTCTGAATGAGAGAACTAGGTATATATTTAATAATATTATTTCACATATAAGATGTACTTCAAACCTTAAGGCGTTTACACTCACCACATTCATTAGTTGTCAGAAAGGAATTACTCAATCAAAATACAGCTACAAAAATCAAAGATAACCCACTCTAACAAAAATAATCGTTACGACTCCAATCATAAAACATTGAAACATTCTAGAATTTCTTTAGCATATAATTTATCTTTCTAAATATCTATCTTAAATGATTTTTCATTTACCGTGTACAGACATCCAATGACCAAGGTGCCAGTGTGCAGACTGCAGCCACAACAAGAACGCTTCACCATAGGCACACCCATAGCACTAACTCACTCTAATTATATTCAAGTACGCACTTTAAAATAGTAAAGCTTACAAATAGAGCGAGCATTTTCATGTAAAATAGTTATATATATCCCTAGCGAATAATATGCGTTGCGTTCTGTATGGCGGTGTTATCGCGAATGTTCGATCCCGCGATAATAAAGTTTGGTGTGCGTTTGTTATATGAATAATGGTGATAAACATTCTTATCAAATGATAGCATAATGATTTAATCGTAACAGTATTTCAGGCATTGCGCCTGAAAGTTGTTGTCAAGGACAATTATAAAACAAATTGTAAAAATTTATAAAGAGATTAAATCTAGGTTGCTATATGATCCCGTGGTGAGAGACATCGCTGAATTTTAGTGGGTATGCCTCTGCTCTTTCACCAGCCCCCATTCTGATGGTTGGTCCGCAGGGGAGAGTCCCACATAACCCGTGGAGCTAGCGCAGGGTATGCGTAACGCATTGCTCAGCGTCAAAAGCTTACTAGATTATACTATGATGTCCAATTTAGAATTTGTGTTTCTAAATGTCTGAAGTTATCTCTTTTAAGTGAAATTGGTCAGTTGTACTCGTATTACAAAGAATTTTGTTTCCAATAGATCAGAAGCCTGCAATCTTATGAAACGAAAAAGCAATTAATCTATAATATACTCGGCTAATTTGTAAACTTTGTTCCTTCTTCTTATCAGCCAAAAGACGTCCTGAATGAGTGATAGGAAAAAAATGTTCTACGATTTATAAGTACCTATGAATGTTAGTTTCCTTGTGTGTATAAACGAACTAGGGAGAAAGGACTATTCAGACCCACACCGCGGGTCTACCGCGGCTACACTGTTTCACTAAAGAATTTCCTTGGCATAATCCTTATTCCTTTGTAATAAAAGCAAAAACATTGTAATCCAAGGAAATTCTTTCGTAAAACGAACTCTACAACTACAGACGCAGTCAGAAGCAACATTTCAACGTGTCTTCCGAAGTACTGCCGAAGAAGTTCCTGTTAAATATATATAAATATTTTTTGTTAAATAAAATTCCTTAATCTCCGGGAAAACAGAACACGCTAACCACTGCCCGCCATCGAACTCCAGTTGATTAGTATTACGCACGTAGGATATCCATTTTGATAATATCAATACGAAAAAAATTCCTTTGGAAATTGAAACACTTATCACTTTATACGTATTACGCAAAAAATTTGATAAGTGTTGAATTATTTGCACGTTGCAATCACGATGACTGTTTTAGTATTTATCATAGCGCTTCGGGTTCTTCCCACAACACACTTCCCACAGTTTCATAATTAGTTTAAGCAATGTTATATAGCAATATATTAATAGCAATATTAATAGGCATAAAAGTATAATTATCGGTAATATTATATTAACCACTACCACAAAAAGATGTATTATTTTCGTTTACTGTCTACACCCGTATGTATAATTGCGCGAGATTATGTGCAAAGTTCATTTCGTTTTACAAAAACATTAAAATGTATTTTAGAATAGAAACATCCAAGTAGTAAACATGCGTGTAGCTTTTATTTATACACAACTCTTCGAAGTTTTTTAAGTCACTCTATACCAGTGCTTTAAGTAAAAAAAGTTTTTTTCTTTAAAATTTCTTTATTAAATTATTAAATGAGAAAATTAGTTTTCAAAACGTAGTTTTTGATCCAGCAATGCAGTCAAGTAAAGAATTAGTCCACTAATTTTACTTAAGTATTAATGACAATACCATCACATGACTAGGAGACTAAGAGAAGCTATGTGTAAGAAGACGGAGGCATATGAGATGTGGGTGTAGCGGAGAATGCTTAGAATTTCTTGGAGAGCCAAAGTGCGAAATTAAGTAGTACTGCGTCGAATAGGTAAGTAGTTCTAACAGCGATAAAGAGGCAAAGAAGGCGATAAAGAGAAAATTGAAAAGTAAAATTAGTTTCTATTCCGAATTACATCATATTAATACATATCTGAATCTGTTTGTAAGGGTCACACACTGAGAAGCAAAAAGTACAAGTTATTACGATTGATCATCCAAGAAAAGATCCGTGGCAAGCCAAGTGTGGGCAGGAGAAGAGTGCAGTGGCTTAACAATTTACGCCAATGGTTCAGAAGGAGCACTCGATCGATTTTTAAGGCTGTATCGAAGGTGGGAATTACCATAATAATTGACAAACTGCACCAGTGTATGGCACCACAGAAGTATGTATATCCCTAAAACGCTGAATACACTACACAAAAGTCGCGGTCAAAAGCTAATCCTTTAATCGCCGCGGTCTGTTAAAATCTGTAATGATACGTTTATCATTTCTTATGAAAAATTATCTACCTAGTTGGAAACAAATAACATTATCGGTACGATTGTCTACCTGATAACCATAGTTTATATTAAATATATATAATTGTCGCTTATTTGTGTCGCTCAGTGATCCGCACGAAACGCATCGGCGCTATCAGAGTTAATTTAATATAAACTAAAGTACATTTCGATAATGTGTGTAATGAAAAGTTGCTTGTTCTGTATCAAGTTGAGCACCGCCACCAACCTGATTGCTTTTATTTATATGGTAATATTATTCATTTAATTTAAATTTAATGTAGGTTAGGTTTTAAATGAAAATATTTCTTAAATAAAAATTAATATAATAAATAATAATATTTATTTTTTAAAAGAAAAATTATACATAGGTTTAAACTCAATAAGTTACAATTGACTAGCTTCTGTGTCTGAGTGAGGTTTATATTCTAAACCTGAATCTCAGGCTCCAGTGCCCACTCCCGCATTATACGGTCTTAGTAAAAGTATGCAACATTTGATAGTAATAAACATTTAAATCCATAATTAATCCATTTTTGTTTCAATAAATATAAATTATCAATTAATAAATATTAATCAAATAGTAATAATAAAAGTTAAAATCAAAATAGTTTGAGTACCTCTCGGTGTGTAAAAAGTGGACGTGAGTGAGTGTGTGAGAGAGGGTGTGTAGTGGAATTATCATTTTATCTTAATACTATATATAAAATTATAGAATTAAAATTAGGCATAAATTGCCTTGCCGACGGTAAAAAGTTTTATATATAGTTTATATTATCCCTTTTTCGTTTTTAAATTGAAATTTATAATTATTTATGTCGAGTGTGGTTGAGAGGATTAAAACTGTTGAAAATTGAAAAGTAAAATTAGTTTCTATTCCGAATTACATCATATTAATACATATCTGAATCTGTTTGTAAAGATTAGATAGATCTATTAGATAAATGATTGTTATTCTTACACATAAGTATTTTGAATTAATTTATTTATTCAAAACTTTATTGCAAGAACAGCAAAAGGCGGACTTAATACCAATGGCATTCTCTACCAGTCTATTAGATAGGTCATAGGAGTAAAAAATGTACGGCGATTTAAGAATGCAGAAGTTGGAAAAGAATATATTTATACCTACAAATCAATAATAAACATACATGATATTTAGAGATATTAAGACATACTTAACATTAAAATACTATATATGCATATGTAAATGCGTATAAAAATACAATAATATATAGATACTATACATAACGTCAGTTTACGTTTGGGAAGACTATGTCCTATTTAAATAATGTACACGCGCTAGTCTTTTGAACACATCTTTACTTTTTGCTTTCCGAATATGTTCTGGCAGAGCATTCCAGAGGCGGGTGGAAGTCAAAGTGAAGGAGCTCGACATAAAGCCGGTTTGATGAACAAGTGTTTTTAGACATATATTGCTACTAGAGAGAAGTTCTCGTTGATGGGAAGCACCCAAAAACTTGAATCTGGATTTTAGATATCCCGGAGTACGTGGATCGTATAGGGTGCTGTAACTCTAAGCGCTTACGAATAGGCAACCATTTGAGATGATACCTATACTGAGTGATATGATCGAACTAACGTAACCCGAAGATGAACCTGATTTTTTTGTTAAAAATACGATCCAATTTCAGTTTGTAATTTTATTAAATAATAAAATAAATAACAGACAATCAAATAAATGTAATGCAAAACAACTCAAAAAGTAACATTACATGTGGAAAACAATAGTACTACTATAATATGGCATTTATTTGCACAAAAACTAAAAAATAATAGGTACCTGTTAGTTAAGTTTGAAAGAATTGTGAATCTTGTTAATAGAATAATTTCCATGTAATTTTGAATTGGATTGTTTGTGGTATATACGTCAAAGTAACATTTTGAGGCTCATAACATAGAGGTAACGTGAGAGAATCAAAAGTAAAGAAAAATGTTACAAAAATAACATATGAACGAGGATGGTTTAATTAGCGTTTGTAAACAAAGCGAAGCTAACGCCATGATGGCGTAGGGATGTACTAAATGAACGTGTTGGCGTAGGGATATACCACAGATTTATTTCTGTGGGATATACTTACTAATTGGCGACTCACCTCTTGTGATTTCTATCATGATGTAAGAAAAGAGAACTTTAAAAAATTGATAGACTCTAATAACTCCCTAACAGTTAGCTCCTGGTACTTAAGAATAGTTCAGTACTTAGTACATAATCGGAACTTAGTACATCGGTAATCAGCAAGCCACATAACTTCAAAAAATGATTTATTATTTTGTGTCGTATATAATAATTTACGTTCTAGCATTTGCTATCCACGACGGCTTCCGCATCGTGATCTACATCTTTCTGATTTCTATTTGTGCCTTTGGATGATTCATAATTCCGTAATTCAATCCCAAGAATGTCAAAGACACTTTATCTTGACCTAAATATCACACGATAGCCGTGATTCTCTAGAAAATACCGAATTAGTATTTATCGTTATGTCGCTCATGATTTTATTTGACATTTAATTATCTCTTAAAGTTAAAGCAAAATTGCCAAAATCATTCGTAAAGTTGGATTACAACACAGAACTCTTTTTTTTTTCAGAATATTTCAAAACATAATTCTTTCCTCTGTATAAATTTTGTAATAGAGTAAATTTATACCGACAAGAAACTCATCAAGAGCTGCATTTTCTCCCTGTTTTATTTCACGCAGAGAATTAGACTATGAAGTCGCTTTCCATTACAATATCAGAAATAAGATAGCTTATTGATGAATATTCCAGTTGCCGAGTCATACATACTTATTGACAAATTATTATACAGTATTCATAATAAAGAAAATGGACGAAATTAAGTAGTCCAGAGCAGACTCACTCCCACTGGCAGCACTCGTTCATGAGCATGACGCATGAGCGCAGTGATTTTAAGAGAGCGTGACTACTTTAGGTACTTAAGTTTTGCAGTGAATTGAGGAAGCTAGCTAGTAATACATCTATCAATGACTCCAGGACAGGGTACAATGTTAATCACATTAGGTTAAAATATCTAACGCCATGCCTTTTTGTGACAAAAATATTCGTTAACAATATCCTTTACTTTGTAGACAATTTTAATACGACTTTTAAAATGATTTGTGACAAATCTAATACATTATCAATCTTGTTAAAGTACTTATCTTGTTAAAGTAGCTTGTTTTAATTTCTAGTATTAATTTTGTGTGCATCTATGCTTGGTATTGTATATATATTAATATTGTTCCAGGCAATAAGTATACAATTATATATAAATTGAGATTCAACGGTCAATATCGGAATATTCATTTCTTTAATTTTTTCTCTGAGAGATGTTCGTGAGCCTAATTGATAAAGATAGCCCAGACTCAATATTGACTGCCATTCCCCACAATATAATACCATACTTTGATTAAAACAAAATGCTTTTATTTGTAAATGGCCTAACTTATTAAAATTAAAACATTTGAACAAAAGAGGAAATGATCAGATGTTGTACTGGGTTTGAAAATATCTATGTTAAAACTACTCTGTGTTACATCAAATATAATCTGTGTTACATCAAAATTGAAATATAACAGAATCTTCTAGAGTAAATGGTGATAATTCAATTATTTATTACATTCATGTGGTAATACAACTATTCTTTATAGTAAATCATTACCATAACCCTGTCAGCTAACGCTTATCAATATCTATACGATTCATATTTACGAGTATAAAACAGTAGTATAAAACATATACAAGGACATAGATTTTAATTAATGAATACGTATGTACATGTTCAAACTTGCTTTTATAATATAGATATGATATAATAACTATATACTATGTAGCGGAGGCAACCTGCTGACGTCAGTTTTACTATATCACAAAAGTATGAGTAACATGTCGTGAGTGCAACTTCAATAACTTCTTCGTAAGATGTTATCAAAGTTATCTATTCTACCAAAAATACTATTTCCCGGTAACATCAAAAATCTTTATTTTTTTGATAAGATAGCAAGAATTGTTCAATTGCTTGGGTATTCGGTTAAAATTCCATACGTTGTTTCTAAGAACATAAAAATACATTAGATAAATGTATATTTGTAGAACTGAAAAATAAAAATGAAGCTTTATATATGTTTATCCAACAAAGTTTTCTATAGAATTTTCGTTATTTTAATACAAAATAAAAATGTATAAATGTGGCGTCAATGCCAATTACGGAAACTTAATATTAATTACTTGATTGGATTGGGACCGTAACACGCGCCCATTAAGGAATGCTGATTATAGAGATTTGTCAAATTTGCGTAAATCAACTGGAAACTGTCAAATTTTTCGATTTGGTTTTAAACCTGCAGTGACAATACATCTTTGTTTTTGTGTATCATCAATATACATGAAGCATATTTTGAATTCATTCGATGAATTGGTGAGTAGTTGCATTTACTACTATTTACTGTGAGCTATAATTGACAAGAAAATTACATCCACCCTCACTCTCGAAGAAACTGGGGGTCAATTCTCAAAGTCCGTATAGCATTAAAATCGAAAGAGGGTCCTATTCTCAAATCTGAGAGTAGTAGTCCCAGACCAGAGACACTCAAAATGTCATCGAAAAACTGCAGCGGATGTCATGCGTCTATTACTAACGGGGAATACCTACAGTGCAGGGATTGTAATCAAAATTATGATATCCTGTGTGCCAACTTTTCCCTTAAGCGATTTTCTTCTATGACAAAGGAAAATAAACTCAAATGGACATGTGACGCATGTCGAAACAAGCACCCTAAAAGAAATAATCAGGAAACTCCTGTTCGTTTCAACCAACTACCAACCGCATCTGAAAAGGAAACACTAGATGACAGTTACGTCACATTACGCCCGAAACGTACGCACACTTTGACACACTCCAGTACAGAAAATAACTCAAATATAATGCATCCAGATGGGAATGAGTTGTCAGAAATCATAGGTAGACAGCTTAAGCAATCGCTACGTGAAGAAATGCCTGAGTTACTGAAAAAAATGTTGTTATCTGAACTTAAAACATTAAGTGATCAAATAGCGGAGCTGACGTCTTCTGTGGAGTTTTTAAACAAAAAATACGATGATGTTCATGGTCTACTGAAATCGCGTGAAGAAGAAAACAAGAAACTTAGAGATTGCAATGAGAAATTACAGACAACAGTATCAAATTTAAGTAAACGGGTTTCGACTTTAGAGCAACATGGACGTGAGAACAATATTGAAATACATGGACTGCCTGAACATAGAACAGAAAATATTGCTCTAACTGTGATGCAAATTGGCAAAGTTGTCTCGCAAACCATGGAAGATGGGGACATTATGTCTTGTTTTCGAGTAGCTAAGGCAAACAACGATAGTACCCGCCCTCGAACTGTTGTAGTTAAATTTCGTAGTAACCGATGTCGTGACGCACTGCTCGCTGCAGTATCGAACTACAACAAGAAAAACAAGCTGGATAAATTAAATACGAATCTAATCGGTATGGGTGGTACTAAGCAACAATTATACATAAGTGAACATCTATCACCAGAAAAAAAATCTCTCCATGCAGCTACTAGGATTAAAGCGAAAGAGTTGTCGTATAGATTCACATGGATTCGCAATGGAAAAATTTACGTAAGAAAAACCGAAACTTCTTCTGCAAAACAAGTGCATAGTTTTGAATGTTTAAAAACACTGGCGTGATTTTATGAGACTCCTGCAGTGATAGTATTAATTTGCTATAAAATTCACAATTTACTATCAGAATGTACGAGGCATGCGCACGAAAACGAATGATATTTATTTAAATGTATTGCGTAATAATTACGACATGATACTGTTCACCGAAACCTGGCTGAATGAAAACATTAATAATGGTGAATTTATAGATGACAGGTATATTGTTTATCGTCGTGACAGGAAATACTCTGAATGTGGTGCGAAAAAAGACGGAGGAGGTGTATTAATTGCCGTTTTAAAAAAAAATCACCAGTATGCGTCTTAAGGACAGGGAAACTGACTGTGAGGACTTATGGATATCAATTGATGCAGGCGATAGATCCCCCAAGAAAATAGCTGTTTGTTGCGTTTACTTGCCACCTCCGGTTCGCTTGCTTAGTCTACAACGTTTTCTGCAAAATGCTACAGATATGATGTGTGAATACGATGACGTGATGTTGATCGGTGATTTCAACATGGGTTTCATGTCCTGGACGGACGTCAACTCTGACGGTGTGTTGCACGCCGAAAACTATCAAAATAATCTGGGCTATTCTTTGATTGATTTTATGTCCTTATCAAACCTTAACCAAATGAATTCAATTTGCAATAGTCAGAACAGAATTTTAGACCTAGTAATAACAAATATCTTTTGTAAGGTTGATAAACCTAACGTGATTATTAGTAGATTAGATAACTTACATCCTCAGCTTGAGATTACCGTATATATGAGCAAAAGTAGTCAAAAACTAAACTATGTTCCACGCAATGACTTTAATTTCTTTAAGGCTGATTTTAATGAGATTATTTACACGTTGAGTTGTTTGAATTGGGCTCAAATTCTGAGCGAATGTTTCTGTGTTGATGATATGGTCGCAGTGTTTTATGACCAAATAAATTCTATAATAGGGCAACACGTTCCGAGGCGCAGACCTCGTGGGGCGCGATACCCACCTTGGTTCACAAAAAACTTGATTCAGCTCCTTAAAGAGAAGGAAAGATTAAGATTAAAAATCCGTAAATATAATAACCCCCGCGACAGATTAGATTTTCAATTGATAAGGAAGCGGTGTGATGCTTATGTCAATACTTGTTACAAGGACTACATTGCAAATGTTGAATGCAGCATAAAAAAAAACCCCAAAGTTTTTTGGGCATTTGTGAAAAGTAAGGGTGGAGCGAGTGCAGTTCCATCTGTTGTATATAGTGACAAAAGTCACCAGAAATCTGCTTCAGGTGGACCAGGTGTTGCTGGTCTCTTTGCTTGTCATTTTTCATCAGTTTACGATAAACATCACTTACTAGGTGATCCAGACACAATTAATGGTTTTGACTACTTCCCTGACTCTTCTAACCTCCATCAAATTACAATAGACGAAAAAACTGTGCTTAAGCATTTAAAGAATCTTGATCCCAATAAAGCTGCGGGGCCTGACGGTATCCCTCCACTCTTTGCGAAAAAATGTGCACGATATTTATCATATCCACTAAAGGAAATTTTTAATAAATCACTGTCCTCTGGAAAATTTCCCACTGTCTGGAAATGTGCTCGAGTGACACCCGTACATAAGAAAGGTGATCACGACAATGTAAAAAATTATAGGCCTATATCCCTTCTTTCGACGTTTTCGAAGGTCTTTGAGGCTGTCGTCTGTCCGGTTATAGTCAGTCATACAAAAAAACAGATAGTTAGCGAGCAACATGGTTTTCAGAGTGGAAAGTCTGTGGTCACAAACCTTTCTTCTTACATGACTCGGGTTATGGAATCGGTGGATAGGGGTGAGCAGGTTGATGCCGTTTACACCGACTTTACGAGTGCGTTTGATCTGGTAAATCATGATATTCTTATTTACAAGTTATATCACCAGTATGGAATTTGTGGGACATTGCAGAATTGGTTTAGATCTTATCTCGAACATCGAAAACAAACAGTTATAATCAGAGGCTACGAGTCTCAAGTGTACACGGCATCTTCGGGTGTACCGCAGGGTTCGCATCTGGGACCTATATTATTCCTTCTTTTCATCAATGACATCGTTTCCTGTGTTTTTCATAGTCAGTGTTCGTTGTTTGCTGATGATATGAAGATTTTCCGGACTATTGAAAAATCGGACGACGCTGAATTACTGCAGTCTGACTTAGACCGAATTCAGATCTGGTGTGGCAAAAACCATTTATCTCTAAATGCGTCAAAATGCAAACATATAACCTTTTCAAAAAAAAAGATAAACACTGTCAATTCGGCTTACAGAATAGGTTGTGATGTTATTGATACAGTTTCTCAGGTCCGTGATCTGGGCGTTGTATTGGATTGTCGGTTATCTTTCATTCCTCACTATAACACCATTGTTTCGAAGGCAGCTAAAACGTTGGGGTTTATTAGACGCAATACTAAGACATTTCGCCGAACGGACTGTAAAATCCTACTATTTAATACTTTAGTGCGTAGTTCATTAGAGTTTGCAAGCGTTATATGGAATCCTATATATGAGGTACACTCAACTCGTTTAGAGTCTATTCAACGGTCTTTTACTAGACACTTGGCACATGTAACTCCTAGTCTCAACAGAAGGTGTCCCTATGAGGACAGACTCAGTTATTTTTCGATGGATACTTTAGCTCATCGTAGGCGGATGTTGGATCTAACATTTTTACATAAGGCCTTTAATGGTGGGTTGAGGTGCCAAGAGGTGCTGGATCAGACCAACATAAGTGTACCGCGTATAAATTCTCGTCGCCCGACTTCAAGGTCCTTCTTTAGTGTTCCAGTAAGTAGAACCAATGTGGGTAGATGTGCCCCTGTGCCAAGGCTGTTAAGCTCGTATAATAGTTGGCATAGAATTTTTGATCTCGATATCTTCCACGACAGTTTTCGACACTATAAAGACAAAATACTGCATACACATCGTCCTTAAAGTAAAGAATTAATGTTTAATTTTAATTTTAATTTATTGATAATAACATATAAGCTGATTATTTTTGACATTGGATATATAATAATTGACTTTTGAATTTAATTTGTTATTTGTTGTTTTGTAATGTGTATCACTGTTGTATTTTTGTAGTATAATATATTAATTGACGCCTATGTCTTGTAACTGTAGTTTATTATTATGTAGTTATAATTGTAATTGTGTTGTATAATTGTATTGTATTGTATATAATTATAATTGTATTGTAGCTAAATAAATATTGAAATGTAAACGCATATGGATATCTTAATACAAATGCTGTGCATGTCTGTAATTGTCATAAATGCTAGATAAGTGTCATTTAAAAGGTTTATTGATTATTTTTGTATTTGTGATGTTGACGTGCCTTGAGTAAATAAATAAATAAATAAATAAATTACATAAAAAAATGTCACAACCGAAAAGTTTAACTGTAAACTATCACAGACTATCCTATATTTGTTAAAATCATTAGGAAGTTCAAAAGTGTTTTACTTAGTATATTTTATTACCTTTATATAGGATAGAATGTATTGTGCTATAGGTGTTAAGTACCAAATTTCATGTTTATTCAATAGTTCACATGTTCGTTCACATGGTTCATAATTAGCAGAGGCATTTGTAAATATATATGAATCGGCAATCGGCATATTAATCACTTATCGTAAATATCTCTCTTATTTCTGATATTGTAATGGAATGTGACTTCATATTCTAATGCAGTCACTTTTCAATAAGACATTTTCTGTGTGAAATAAAACAGGGAGAAAAAAGCAGCCCTTGCTGAGTTTCTTGCCGGTTCTTCTCAGTACAAGGTCTCTCGCCGTAGTTTTGCAAACCGATGGCGTAGTTTAAATTGTACTAAAACTCTTAAAAAAGGGCTACAGGGATGAATGCGTGCACAGGACCAGAGCACAACATAAACTATACAAAATAATAATATTTATTTGGATATGAATATAGTAAAGTCTATTATTTACAGAGAAGAATCAGCAAAAGTGATTCAAGACTACATATTTCCCTTATGTCGTAAAGTTATAAATTATAATGCATATTGTTTATATTCAGGTGTGGTCGACGGTGCTCGCGATATTGTTTACCGTGCCTCTCGCGCTACTGCCGGATGAACTGCCAACGTCACGGCTCTTCTTCTACGGTGCAATGGCGACCTCGTCCTTGGCTACTTTCTTGGCCTGCTGCTTACTCATATTTTCGGAGTCCAGGGTAATTTGACTACTACCTTTTAGGTTTAAATTTGATTACATTGTTTGACACTTTATTTCTTTATATTCCTCAGAAAAAGGCAACGCTTATGTGGCCCTGGGTGATAGTGGCTTGGTGCACCAGCCTGCCCCTGGGTGTTCTGTGCGTGGTCGGCATGGTGACCGTGTCCTTCCGTGCGGCTGACCTGCATGACGCCCTCGCAGAGAGCATCGTCATCTCTGGATACTTCACACACGCATGTAAGTTAAATCATAATTCCTCCCACTATCCATGCGTAGTCATGTGAATGGCACATTGCATTAGAATTTCCCTGTGTGCATTACCCTACTTGGGTACGACGTAGCATACAATACTATTTATGTCCCCTTTGTTGGGGCAAGAACTTAATTATAATAGAAAGGATATAATTGTCTTTTCGATTAAAACCCATATCATAAATATATGTTAATCTCAATGTGGTCTTAAAGTAATGTGAAGTAAGAGTCTCTCAATATCGGCACGAAAAAAAATTCTATAAAGGATAACAACGTTCGCACCCAAATTCTTCAATTATATTACACCAGAAACCAACACCAATGACTTCAATATAATTCTATTTGCATTAAAGGTAAAGTTGACGTGTACATTACAGTGTTGCTGTTCTGGTGCGCGTGCGTGGTGAACAGCCGCCGCAGAGAGCTGCTGAGGGAGGGTTACGCTCGAGCCAACAAGAGACTCATGTACCCTATCATGTACAACGTGAACACAGTATGAAGCCCCTGCTACACCAAAGCAGGCCTCATATACTCCCAGAAATGAGAGACGAGACAACTCCGTTTCAGATATAATCGTGGAGGCAGCGGAAATATACACATGTGTCGTGTTGTGTTGTTTCGCCTCAGAAATACTCACATTAATTTCATTGTAATTTATAAAATAACACGTGACAAAGACAATAACAACACAACAGGACCCATTAATGTTTCCGCCTTAAGAGTTCTGTTGCGCTATTGATGCGATTGGATAGTTGTGTAAAAATAAAGATTATCTGATTATAGTACATATTCATTTCATTTTCATTTTTTAGTTTTGTTAAATTATCAGTTTACTTTATATATTTATCGAGTCGTTATTAACAATTACTTAACGAAAAATGCTTAAAAAATCCACTTTGTTCCTGGCACTCTGAGATCTCAGACAAAGTGGTTTCTTTTTTTAATTTTTCGTTAAGATTATTTTTCAATATAGCATTGTGAATGAACAATTGATCAAATATAATAACAATGACTTAACTAAATTCTGTGTTTGTTGCGGGTAAACACTACCGTTTTATACCATAACTCGGTCGCCTTGTACTGATTACGCTTGTTTCATTAAGCTATTTTAAATTGTGTTGTAATGTATGAGTATATGGGTATGTTATCAGTTACCTATATTTTAAATAAGTAATAAAACTAATTAACCGACCCCAACGCTCTCCAACGCAATCAGAAATAACGAAGGTGCCTTAGCTTCTAGATCCCAGACGATATAAAAAAAGTTTATTTGCTATATTAACACAAACCTAGGCATCCATGTGCACGGTATCAAAAATAAACGACACGCTAAACTAACAGGACAAATCGTTAATGGTCCGGGACAAAGTCCCACCCATCTCTCGCTATCTGACTACGAGCAGAATGCATCCAGTGTTGAATTCAGTGAATGCGTAATATTATGGCATCCCTTTGTTAAATTCATTGAGGTTGTTTTTGAAAAAAAATAGGTTACAAAAAATTAATTGGAACATATTTTGACTTTCATTATAAGTAGATATTTATGTGACAGTCGACACAATAACGTAATATATACTTAGTAAACAGTATCATTTCACAATGTTTATTATGTTTTACAATAATACGTAAATATGCCTCAGAAGAAGGAAAAATGCAAATCCATCATTGTCAACAAATGACTAAATTCATTATAAGGAAAGGACAGTTCATACAAAAAATATGATAAAGATACTTTAAACAACCGAATATACGATAATCGGATTATGTTATTACTCTTTTAATTTTTATTGTGACACGCGGGTGATTAATTTATTGTGATTAATAAAATGTTTTAATATAATCACCGATTTTGCTGGTTACAAAAGTTATAGCTACTTAATTAGGGATGTGATGGGAAATGGGAAATTGCCGATTTGTACTGAAAATCAAAATTGTTAATTTTTAATTTTTAACAAATTAATTAATCAACTTAGATACCATAATTATCTATACGTTGCTGCAATGCTGCTATCTAATAGGAAGGTCATTTATGCCTTTGCGTATAGAACTCTGAGGATCTAGACTGCACAATCTGTGTGAAAACATTTTGTATTGCCTCGTGGGAAGAAAACTTCTTGTCACATTGATAATTATCCAAATTACGAAAAAAGTAGTAGTCTGTTGATGCTAGGTCTGACGAATATGGAGGGTGACGAATGGTTTTTAACTGCAGTTCCTGAAGGGTCAAAACGGTTTCTCGTGCTATATGAGGTCTCGCGTTGCCATGGAGCAAATTATATGACAGTCGGAGCTGTTTTACTTCCAGTTTTGCCAACATTGTTCGGAGTTCGGTACAATAGACATCTGCTGTTATTGCTTGACCAGATTTGAGAAAACTTGGTGAATAACATCATGCTGAGACCACCAAACAGTTACCATTACCTTTTTATTGGTAAGTTTTGCTTTAGGACACTGTTGTGGCGTTTGACCTATGGTCAGCCATTGCATTTTTCTTTTACGGTTATCATAAAGAATCCACTTTTCATCACATATCACAATTCGATCCAATATTCCTTAATTTCTGTATCGATTCAACAAGGCAAAACAAGTTTCAACACGCGTTTCTTTCTGCAGATCAGTCAAATCATGAGGCACCCATTTTTCATAATTTTTATTTTATTGATTTAACGCAAAAGCGTAAGGTAACGTTTAACCATTCCGCTAATTTCTGTGTAGTTTGACTAGGATCGGCTTCCACCATCTCTCTTAATTCATCGTTACTCACCTGTGTGGACGATCTTCCTCGTGGCTCGTTCTTCAAGTCGAAGTTTCCATCACGAAAGCGTTTAAACCAAAATTGCACGGTGCGTCCCTCTCCAAACGCAACATTGATATTGCAGGCTGTTTCTGCCGCGTTACTTCCGCGTCGGAACTTGTATTCAAAAATCACTCGAATTTTCGTAGCATCAATCTTTCTTGTGTAAGTTGAATAACAAAATCAATTGAAAGTCGATATTCAAATGCTCTTCTTTTTTTAAAAGAAGAACATCATAGAAACCAAATGAAAAATGTTTCTTTCGAAAAACTCAAACCATGAAGATTCTATATCAATTCAAGGAACTCATTACAATAAAACGGCAATTTCATACTTTAACCCCTAATATTTTAATAATGGCAAGCCGAAATTCATTATCGCAATCAAATGATCCACTTTCTAATGAAATTCAGGGTTAATATACTTAAACAGACATAGTGGCGTCGTCGCAGCTACCTAACGACGCGTCGAAGCTCCATGCGCGTACGCAACACGTGGAAACAATTAAAGAGCGCGCGTACTCAACAATGACGCCACTCACGCGCGCGGTACACTCACTGGAGGAGTTTAGGAATTATTATTTTTGGGGAAAATATAGAAATATATTAAATGTGGTTCACATTCAATGTGTTTTAAAGTGTGGCGAAGAACAAAATACGAAAATGAATCGATTAATCTAGCTATTATTGATTTATTGTTAATGTTCTAAGTTTTTATGAAGATAAAAATGGATATGGCTTACAAAATCTCTGAAGCCTCTGGAGAGTGTTCCGATCTTAATGTCTTAATAAAGTTATACATCATTTTATATTATGAACGTTAGATCAAATTGGGTTAACATTCTATTATGCGTCCGCCTAACTCTAACCATAACTCTACCATAGGATACAACATCTTAACGAATATTATGACAATATTTCGTAACATGTATTTTGAAATGTATTTTAGTGAATCAATTTGGGATAAGTGACTAAGTTGTAAACACTGCTGACAAATCCATATTCATCATCTTTTATCATTAGTTCTTGGTAATTAAAGTACATGTCAAGGTAGTAAAATGAAAAGAAATAGTGTGTCGTATCCTATGGCTTGAGTTATAGGGTTATAGCTAAAGGAGTTAGGCTGTAGTAAACGTTGATGGGGTAATATGATCCAAGCTAAAACCTTGTCGAATGTTCCCCAATGACTGAAAGATTCGACGACATCAAGAGGGTTGCAGGTTCCAAATGGTTGGAAAGAGACCAATGCCGAGATAAATGGTAAATACTGAAGGAGGCCAACGCTGATACAGTAGAGACAAGCTAAAGAAAAAGAAGAAGAAGAAAAAGACTGAAAGATTGAAAACCACTGTTGTCCAACGCAGGATAGGCATGTTTCCTTTTCCGCTACTCGTAACTGAACTATTTTATTGGTATTAAGAATATAAATATGTGAGGGAGTGTACCGGCTAGCGGAAAATTGTCGTTTTCACCGCGGCCTGTCGCCAACAATAAGATGTTATAAATGATGGCGTTATGTGTACGCCCGCAGTCACACTAACATGACTGCCCGTGGAGAAACATGGTGAGTCTGTATTATATCACTATTTACATATGTATTATACACACAATACTACCTATTATTATTACTACAATTACACAGGACATAACTAGAACCTTTATTTATCTATATTGTTCGCGGAGGACGGCGAGAAAAGCTATGCTAATCTGTTAAAAAAACAGTCTCGTTTTCGTCGACGAACGCAGAGCCGTCACGTCAAAGATCAAATAAACGATTATTACCTTTTGAAGTAGGTTTTTATTATAACAGAATAGCATAGATGAGAAATGACCGATCACTTTGATCTTGAAATGTGTATTTTGGCTTAATAATTTATGAAACTACGTAAAAATTGTATGTTAGTGTTTTATACAGCGTTTAAATTTTCACTTATATAAATAAAAGTTTATACAATTGAAAGTTAAAAAGATAATAGAGCACATTATTATCTCTTTCAAATCGTAGGCTGAAGTTTTATCTTTTGAAATTTTGACATCTAAAGTTTTTGAACAAGGAACCCTTATAGTTACCTTATAGTCAGTCCGTCCGTCCGCAGTTTAGCTCAAAACTATTGATACCAGAAAGTTGTAATTTGGCATGTGTAGGGTATACACGTTAAGTACGCCAACAAAGTAGTAAAGTAAAATCAAGAAAAAATAATATTTAGTTTACCTCCCCTATATGTAAAGTGGGGATGATATTTTTTTTCGTCTTCCCCATAGTGTGGGGCATCGTTGGATAGTGATAGTCGTCGAATTGTAATAAACTCGAAAATTTCGAACAACTCAATAGAAAAAACAAACGTATTTTTTTTATGTACGGAACTCTTCGTCCGCGAATCCGACTCGCAATTGGCTGGTTAATTTATTTATTATCTTATGTCAGAGGCGTACAATTTCCAGATGATATATTTGATCAAATATTATGTTTTATCCCTACTTATTAAAGAAACTACTGAAATCGCTCACTAGATGGCGATACTTTGTTGGAAGTTTCTCTCAAATCTTTACAGGAAACGATACGTAACACAATAATTAACTGTGCGTTTCAATAAAAACTAAATAACTAACCGAATCGTCTAAATTAAAAAAAGGACGAACTAAATATATACGACAACTTATTAATTAACTTATTTATTACTCAATTTAATTAGGTACTTTGATGAAATCAGAAAAAAAAAACAGAATACATGTCAAAGAAAATTTTATTTAACGCAACTATTGAAGAACGAAGCGAAATCTTTATTGATTCCGAGAACATATTTTTTTTATTATTCATCATTATGAATAATAATAATTATTAATTTAATTACTGCCTATAAAACCTAGTCAATAGAAAGTTCAATAAAGCTCCCCTATGTAGGTCGGAGAGCATCGACTGCCTCTTGGAATAAATAAAATC